ATGTGTCCTCTCCCTAGACATTTAAAGCACTTGATAGAACCTGTCTTAAATTCTATTGAAGATTTATTTCTAGGCTTTTCTTTTTCTTTATTCTTTTGTTGTGACCTTTCTATGTTGGATTGGGAGGAAAACTCGTCCCTCTTGTAATCATTATTGGGGTAAGAGGTAGACTCCTTCCTAAGGCTAAACTTTCTCTTTAATTGATTTTCTACCCTTATACAAAGTTGAACAAGTTCGTTAAGGTCTCTATATGGTAAAAGTTCAACTTGTCCCTAATATCTATGTTAAGGCCACTTTGAAATCTTGCAACGGTGGATCTTTCTTCTTCCCTAATTCCAACCCTTAGCATAAACAACTCCATTTGTTGCCTATATTCCTCCATACTTTGATTTCTTTGTTAGAGTCTCTAGAGCTTGTCCATTAAGTCTCTCTCATAATAAGGAGGAATGTGCCTTCTCCTTAAGGCACTCCTAAGTTCATTCCAATATTTAATGGATGACACTCACATAATTTGTTTTTCTCTCACTAGGGAAATCCACCAATGCATGACACTTTCTTGAAAGGCTAGGGTGGTCAAAGGTACTTTCTTTTCTTCACTCACATTGTAGTAAGTGAAGATTTTTTCCACCTTCATCTCCCAATCTAAGTATTCCTCAACATTGTCCTTTCCATGAAAAGGAGGAAGCTCAACTCTAGGTTCCTTGTGAAAGTCATGCCTAGGCCTATGTTGACTAGGGGGTCTTTGATAGTATCCATCATCATGGTGACTACTATAAAACCCTTTACTTAAAGTTAAGTGAGTATGTGAATGATGGCTCTTGGGTCGTGAACCTCCTTCCACATGTTTTCCTCTAGAAGGCTTGTAAGGTCTCTCACCATCTTGCCTTTTAGGCTTAGAAATTGTCTTCATGGACTTTGGGCTTGCTAGCCTCACCACCCACCACTAATTTGCTTAATAACTTTCTTATTGTTTCATTATTTTTCCATTTTCTATTTCTTTTTTCCTTATATAATCCCTAAGTTCATGGAGTTAATCTTTAGTACTCCTATGACTTCTAGGGAAATGATGACCATGCACACTACTATCATCAAAATGATCACTCATGTTTGTGGGAAAAATTTTCACAAGTTTTCAAATGAATTGCAAAATAGAGTGATAAAGATTTTCACAAAAGATTTTCTTTTCGATCCAAGACTAAGTACTTGGAGGTTTAAGTATACAAGTTGTACTATCAAGGGAGGTGAGCTACAAGAGGCCACTTAATAACCAAGCTTTTTCAAGTATAAATTACTAAACTCCCTTATACTTGTCTCACAAAATAATTTTGCACACAAGTCAAATAAATGTGCGTGTATGCACAAAACCCCCAATAGGCAAAGAAGCCTTCTAAACGAACTTGGAATGTTCCTACTTGCAATTAGAAAGTAAACTAATGAAGAAAGAAAGTAAAACATATACTAGTCGAATGCCCTAGGGTGGAAGTCTAAGTGACACTTAGAGCCCCTTAGAACATTTTCACAAGTACTAAACATTTTATGAAAGCAATTAAACTAGACAAATCTCTAGTGGAAGCCTAAGTGACAGTTAGAGCCCCTTAGGACACTTCCACAAGTACTAACGGATACTAGGTTTCAATTAGAAAACTTAGGAGTGGTGGAAGAACACCAATTAGGTTTCCCAAGTCACCCCTAATAAGTCAATACAAGTTTAAAGCAAGGAATATGAAAGGTCTAACCACCAAATGAGTTTCAAATGAAACACAAATGAAATACAAGTAAAATTAAATGAAATCATGTATAAACAAAATTTGTGAGAGCTTTAGAGATGGATTTAGTGACGGATCCGATTTGTGATGGAAAAATCCATCTCTAACTTTGGTCTCTAATCCGCTTTTGATTTTCTTTGTGATTTTTGGATCTGCAAAAAGACAAACAAATTAGCCTCTCCAATGTGTTTCTCTAAAGATTTATCGTACCTCAATCTCCCTCAAGTTGCAGCCCCTTTGAGGTGGATCCAATATGTCTCAATTATCCAATCCTTTCGAAGTGTAATGGCTTGAAAATGGAACTATCTCCACCAAGAATTAACAACCACAAGAGAATTTAGAGGCTAATAAAATCAAAGCTAAAAATCAAAATTAGAATAGGCTAAACTCAAATATAAAATGATGTGACAAACTCAAAGAATGCCAAAAAGACATAAAGCAACAAGTAAGGGACAATTTCAACACTAGCTCTCAAAGGAATAGTCCTAGGAATGACACTAGAGTTGATTACAAAAATGAAACAAAATTTGTGCTATTATTTTGAGTAATCTAAAGGTTATTCTAGCCATTGGACAAAGAGCAAATCACAAGAAAATTTTCACAAAAATTCAAGGCCAAGTGCTCCTAATATTTCTTTGTTTATCACTTTTTTTTTCTAGCTTTTTGCTTTTATTTACTTTTATCTTTTGTTGCCTTCTTGGCTCTTTTTTTTTATACAGAGTATGAACACTTAAAATAGAGTCCAAACAATGATAAAATGATTTCCAAGTGGTGGAGAAAAAGAATAAGAAGTGAAAGTGTACAAGATAAGTTTCAATACTACTAGTTACTAGTTTTGCTACTAGTTTGTTCTCTTTTTTGTACACTTATTGATTTTTGTTTTTAACACTTCTCACTCTATTTTTATTTCTCAAAATAATCACACAAGACACAAGGAATTGCTGGCCTTAAGTTGCTAAGAAAAAATTAGCAATTGAAGTTCACAAAAATTGACACTAGATATTCCTTTCATTCTTCCTTTATGTTGTTTACGAAATCTGGTTCTTTGGGGGTTATAATTGATGGTTGTTTCTCAATTCCTTCTCTATTACAAAATCGTACATGATATTTTCACCTCATACGGCTCCTCGCGGATAAAGCAATTCAATATATATATATATATCAATTAAATCGAGAAAACATGTTAGGTCTAGTAACATGCATAGAATCATTCAATGAGCACTTATAAGATTAATACATGTTCAACCAATAATATTACCATAACAAAATAGAGACAAATGTATTTAGATTCAAAAAGAAAAAAAAGCACACAAGAGATGTTATGACAAGTAAAGCAACTACACAAAACTCTAAGACAAAACTAGGAGATTAAGAAATGAAAAATGCTTTCTGTTCTAGTTTCTTTTTTAGGATTTTCTTTGACCGAATTGTTTAGGAGTCCAAACAAGATTAAAACAAACTTAAACCATTAAAAACACATATAGAGAATTCCTAAAGACACATAAAGAGATTGATTCACAAAGATTGATGTATAAATCAAAACAAGCAAGAGAAAGTGAATTGTTCTATAGATTTATAGTTGTGACACAAGAACAATTCTAAGGCATACAAAACACAAGACAATCAAGGAGCAAACATTTATAACGAAATTAGACACAATATAAGATGTTATGACTGAACAAAAACAACAAGGAAGCTTAACAAAGTGTTTACCAAGAAGACCTAACTCTTGATACCAAATGATGGAAACCTTCTAGAAAATTCGGATTGATGTTGGCTTCTCCTTCAAGTTTCTCTCTAAACCTTTGGCTTCTTAACACTTTTCAAACTTCACCAAAGCCTCCAATGGTAGTAGAAGCTTTGGATTTCACCTTAGGAGGTGAAGAACACTCTTCAAGTGATGTCACTTCTTGGAGGAAGATGAATCATTTCAATTCTCACCACACTCTTTATGAAGAGGATAAGAGAATTGTAACTATATTAAAGAGGTTTAAGACTTTTAGGGAGAGAGAGAATGCAAAGGAATATCTCGGCCAAATTCTCATATAACATCCAAAAGTGTCAACAAAGTAAAGGAAAAATCTTATATAGAGAATAGGTAGCTTATGGTATAAACTAGTCTAACCGTAGTTCAAATAGAATCATAGTTAACCTTCTTATACTTAAGCTTACTATCCCTAGTTACCTTCCTAAAAGCTTTTGGAGTAAGCCAAACTAATCTTAGTTTAAAAATGACTTAGGTTAGCTTAACTTAACTCCAATTAGCTAACCTAATGATTACTTCTAGTAGTTAATTGAGATGTCACTTTCAAGACCATGTGAAAGTTTCTCCTATAAGCTTTGGACGTTGGATGGCTTCCTCACCAAGCTTGGATGTCCACACTACTTGCCTACGCAAGTGAACATCCAATCTTGGTGTATTTTAGAAATCCATTTGGGTCATCCAAACCCAAACAATCCCATGGTCTTTCTAGTTACATCTTTCCTAAACTACTAATTATACCAAAATACAAGGAACAAAAATTCTACACTACTTGACCCAAAATACAAGGTCAAATGAAGTAAAAGATTCCAAACAATATACTCTAAAATCCTAAGGGTATGACCTATAAAGAAAAATAAAGATGCCTTACAAATACAAAGACAAAAATAAGTCTATACAAGTATCTACTATATATAAGGTACAAGAACTCAAATTATACAAGGTATGTATAATAGAGACTATGAGACTAAAAAGAAGAATTATATTCAATACTCATATAGAGTATAGGTCTAAGAAGCACATTCTCTATAAAAGTCTCCTCTAGTCTCATAATCATGAACTTAGTTAAAAGTTCAATGGCCTTCAAGTGTGAGCTTCCTATCCATTAAGCTTCACCTTTCTTGGTCTTATCTTTTCTAAAGAGATCCTCGGGGAGTAAGTTTTCATCACTAAATATCATTAAACATTGATAATTATGTCATTTTTACTTAATATCGGGTCATAACTAATGTTATAATTTTAACGATTATAATAAACTTTTAATGATAACAATTTTTTTTTTAATTTTATATAGTTGATAGATTAAAATTGCAAAATTAAAAATAATGAGATCAAAATTATAAATTTGATATTACAAGAGATAAAAATATAATTTTTCTTAAAATTAATTATACACTTTTTTTTTAATTATTATTAAAATAACAACTTGGCTATACAGTGGAGTTTATCATTTTACTTACTAGTGACTCGTAACGAGTCTCTGACTAGACCTAATTTGTCACATAAGGCGGGAAATTTTTTTTTTGAGCGGAGAAGAAGTTGTTGCAGAGAGAAAGGCTTTGTGAGTGTGATGGAGAGGATACACGTCAGCGTCCGTGCAAGGCCTCTCTCCCCAGATGACGCAAAAACCAGCCTCTGGAGGATCTCCGGAAACTCCATTTCCATTCCCAACCACTCCAAATTCGAATTCGGTACTCTTCTCTCACCCACTCTTTCTTCATTTCCTTTCTCTTCCTAATCTCATTCTCCACTAAAATTACGTTTCGCAGATCAAATTTTCAGCGATAATTGCGACACCGCGCGGGTGTACCAAGCTCGCACCAAAGATATTGTGGAGGCTGCAGTTCGCGGATTCAACGGTTTGCATGCGTAGCAATTTGCTTTGTTGTTGTTGTTGTTGTTGAATTTGTTGACTTAGGGTTTGTGATGTTAACTGAAGGGACTGTTTTTGCATACGGCCAAACTAATAGTGGCAAGACTTACACTATGCGAGGCTCGAAAGCGGAGCCTGGAGTTATTCCTCTCGCGGTCCACGATTTGTTTCGGATTATTCAACAAGTAACCTCTTCCTCCTTTCATTTTGTATTTTGTGACGAAACGAAGCCGATGCACAAGATTTGAAACAAGCATCACTGAACTGAACCGTTGGAATTTAACTATTTTTTGTTGATGAAAGTCCTCTTTGAATGACTTCTCTAAACGTGTTTATAGGAGAGGAAAATAAGAAAGTAAAATGAATTATGTTTATCTTGTAAGTAAGCTAGAATCAACTTATGCACTTTAACTTTTAGAAAAGTTAAATGAGAGGTTGCTTTTAGTAATTTAGTTTTGACTTAAATATGTTTTTAGTCTCTCTGATGTAAATTTGTTTTTAGTCTCTTAAATTTAAAATTAGTTTTTTTATCCCTGTAATTTTAAAAAATCTTGTTTTAATCTTTATATTCAAATTTTGTTAAGGAATTTATTAAAATCTATCTATTAGTGTTCTTGGTAGTAGAAACATTATATTAAATTCAGTTGATACGGTATAATTGTTTCAATTTGTCAGTTTCAAATATGTTATTGATGACCTGAGAGACTAAAATAAGATATTTGAAAATTATAGGATTAAAAACAATAGTTATAAATTTGAGGGACCAAAAATAAATTTATTATAAATTTAAAGAACTAAAAACATATTTAAACCTTTAGTTTACGAGAAAAGTTCAATTTTTTTACTTTCTCATTTATTTTTGAAAAAAATTATCCAAACTAGTTAAAAAAGAATTAAATGATTGAACTCTAGACCTCAGAGACTCTGGGTTATGTTATATAATGAATAAATTATTTAAAAGTTAAGCTGTTGGGTGGAAGGCATGAATAGTTTTATATATGATGCTTTTATATCGCTTCTTCTAGTGTTGTGTGTTGCCGAATTTGTCGTACAAATATGCAAAACAGTTGTTAGGTTCACCCTTTTGTGGCTCCTCTTTAGTTGTTCACAGGGACAGACAAACATGACATTTTAAAATTAGAACTTTGAAGAACTAAATTCTTTGAAGGATTAATGTGGGATACTGTAATATTGGATTGAGAGGCTGATACGTGAAGTGTTCATCCTTGCTCAAAAGTTGGATATTGTCATTTGAGTTATATTTTATGGGGTTATTAATAATTAAACTGTCTTAGTTCTTGTGGGAGCCTCCTTGCAATTAAAGCAACTAGAGTTGTGGGGAGTGCATCTGTACTTGCAACTACTAGTTGTGATTATTGTGTTCTTAATGAGGCTTCTTCCTTTGGGAATTTAGAGATGATCCTGAAGTTTTTCCTTCTAAACTGTTATATTATGATAATATTGTTAAATTTAATTGGTTTTGCATTATCTCCTATTGATATTGATTATCATAATATGTTAAATACTTTTTTTTTTATATTTATTTTAGGATGTGGATCGAGAGTTTCTTCTTAGAATGTCATACATGGAGATTTATAATGAAGAAATAAATGATTTGTTGGCTCCTGAACATCGTAAACTGCAGATTCATGAAAATCTGGAGGTTGTTATATATATATATATTTATATATTTTGCAAGTTTGTTCATATCTAGCGACTTTTGTTATATTTGTATTCCTCAATACTTTATATAATTTTTCTTTGAAATCACAGCGGGGGATATATGTTGCGGGGTTGCGAGAAGAAATTGTTGCCTCCCCTGAGCAAGTCCTTGATCTCATGGAGTATGGAGAATGTAATTTTTCTGTAGCATTTTTTTTTTTTTTTACATTTGGACTCCCTTGTCATTCTGCATGGGTTAAATTTTCATTCATGTATATTTGAACTGTATATTGAGATTGAAATAAAAAAGAATCTCTGTTTCAATTTGATTTTTGTGGTTCCTTCGTTCACTAGCTTTTCTGTGTAATTCTGTTTACTTTTGGTTAACTATGTAAAATATTTATATTTATATTCATATTCATGGTCACTTTATCTCTCTCCCAAATACCTGTTTATTTTATATCAAATGTACTGTTTGGCATATCTTATGCTACTGCTATCAGCTAACTAATTTTTTTCCTTATGGTCGTTGCATTTGTATCAGCTCATAGACATATTGGAGAGACAAATATGAACTTATACAGTAGCAGGTCCCATACTATTTTCCGCATGGTAACAAGTGTTCTTTCGTTTTTTTTTCTTTTATTTTTTGATGCTTATGCTTGCCCCTCCTCCCAATTAATAACTTCTGTTTGATAGATAATTGAGAGTAGGGATAGAAGTGAAGATGAAGAAAGTGGAAGCTCTTGTGATGCTGTCCGTGTATCAGTGTTGGTATGTTAATGTTACTTTTTCAACTTACAAGTAATCTCTATTTTGGGAAAAGTTTTTCCTTCTTGCTTGTGGGCATTAACACATGTATCTTCTCTCCTTTTATTTAAATGACTATTCTTGTGTAATTTTTCATATTGGTAATCATTAGCTTCTTATTTCTAGAATTTAGTGGATCTTGCTGGTTCAGAGCGTGCTGCAAAAACTGGAGCCGAAGGTGTCCGACTCAAAGAAGGTTCTCACATAAACAAAAGCTTAATGACTTTAGGAACTGTGATTAAAAAATTGAGTGAAGGTGCTGAGAGTCAAGGGTAAGTTTAAATGATTATATATAACTTTTGTTTCTGTTTTCATTTTTGAATGAGCAAAAAGGAAAATATAATATTTTATGCAGGGGTCATGTTCCATATCGAGATAGCAAGCTGACTCGAATTTTGCAACCTTCTCTAGGAGGAAATGCTAAAACGGCTATAATATGTAATATCACTCTTGCTCAGGTAAGGTATCCCTGCATTATTTTCTATGTTTCACACTGTTATGTCAAATATCCGTGAATTTAACACTGTCAATCTAAACTATTTTATTTTTTTATATTGTTTTTTCTCTACTATGCTTTATATCATTGCAATAATTAACAAATGAAATATGTATGTCCTCTGCAAGTGACTTGGGTTTTACATAATCCTCAAATTCCTAGAATTGAAAATATAGCCAATTCCAAATATTTTTCCGTGTGAAGTTATCCTTATTCTGCACATTTTAGTTGAAAAGGTAAGTGGCTTCATTGGCTCGGAGATACAACTTGGTGAGATGTTTTGCATATCATTTGATTAATAATAATATCCATCTAATATAACAGTTAAGTTTCCTAGCTATCATTGGTCAGACAAGATCAATATCCTGTTATTCTTGTCTATGAACAGCCTACTATTACTTTTGATATTTTATGGAAAGTATCAAAATGTTCCTTCAATATTATTTTCATCTGGTTATTTCAGCACATTTGTTATATGACAGATACATACAGATGAAACTAAAAGCAGCCTTCAATTTGCAAGTAGAGCATTGCGTGTCACAAATTGTGCTCAAGTGAACGAGGTTTCTTCTAATCCATTTCTCATGTTTGGAGAGCTATTTTATTTTTATTTTATTATTTATTTTTGTACTGCTTGGCATTTCAATGTAGTTTTCTCTTTTTTACTTTCTCTTCTTTCTGATTGACTTATTCTACAATATTTTCATTGCATCATCTCTTTCAGGCAGGTTCAATTATTCATACATAGATATTCTTACTATTTATTTTTATAGTCCACTTCTGCATTTTGTCTTGGTGTTGTATGATTTGGGTTTGTTTTGCATTGATGTTTATCTTTTGGTGTAATTTTTCCACTTTGTTTTTGCTCAGATTTTGACAGATGCTGCTTTATTAAAGCGCCAAAAGAAAGAGATTGAAGATCTTCGTGCCAAATTGATGGTTGACCTAGTTTTCAGTTGCTATTTTTTTTATATTTGTTGAACATAAATTATATTGTTTGATAGAAAATAAACCAAAAAATTAGTAACTTCAAGTGTTGCCATAATTATATTTTGCTCTTTTCTTTAGGGTTCTCATTCAGAGCATTTGGAAGAGGAGATTCTGAACCTTCGAAATACATTATTACAGGTGTATGAATTTTCCTTTGGGATTAATTTTAAGATGGTTTTTGCGTATTCTGTATTTTACATTGTTTATCTTTTCAGACTGAATTGGAAAGGGAACGCATAGCTTTGGAATTAAAGGAGGAAAAGAAAGCTCAAGCTGAATGGGAAAAAAGGGTAAAAGAACAGGCCAAGAAAATCGAAAATTTGAGTTCAATGGTTTTGTTTTCAAATAGGGATGAAAGTCGTGAGCATATTAAAAAGGTATTATTAACACATGCACATATAGCCATCAAGTATAATATGAGTAGCATTTTTTCTACTTTAATTTTCTTTCCAGGTCATTAAAGCTAATTTTACTGTTTTGGATACATCAGACAAATAAAACATTAAATGCAATATTATTGAGCACAAGGAGCAGATTTTGTTGTCCACTCTGATAGTTAAGTTATATGCTTAAGGAATAAGCTTTTTCTTTCAATGGAAATGAATATCTATTTTTTCCTATAATTGATTGCTTGTGATCAACATCCTGTGAATCACTTATCAGAAGCTTTTAGAGCTGCACACATTCATATAGGCATTATTTACAGCTGTCTGTTGTGATAGAGCACTGGAGATTAATTGATGAAGTGTATTACTGAACACAATTGTCACACAAAATAGCAATTTGGTTGCTGTCCAAGAGGCAGAAGTCTCCTAATGGTAGTAATCACTGTCCAGAAACTGCATAAAATAATAATTACACCTAGTACACCCTACTATCAGATATGTTTATGATACATAACTGCATTTAGTTATTTTATACAAATAACTGCTGCTAGGGAATTTCCTACCGACACAAACTCCTAATACATAACTATTACTAACTATTTTCTGTTAATAAATGCAGTGACTGAAACATTTTCTCCTTCTCCCACCCCTTATTGAATATAGAAAAAAGAGAGAGAATTGAATAAAGGTTTCTGTTATTGAATCTGTGAATTTTACAATAGCTGATGAGCTTCTGCATAGAAGAGCTGTTTATAGAGCAGAAGCTACATCTAAATCTCGTGCCAGCTCTGACAATGACAGTTATAAATGTCTTACAACAAGTAATACACAACAGATAAAAGCTGACAGTAAACCAAAAACCACAAGGATTAAAGAGAAATGATATTCTCTTACAATCCCATGAGCTTGATGTGGATGAGAAGAAAATTGATGCTCAGAAACATTGACCTTAGTCTAAAACAGAATAAATCGAGCAGATGGCAGGGTTTGGTCAGATGCCCAGTTAGCATCATAAAAGGTGTACAGAGCTGGAGGCTGGGTAGTAGGGGCAGGGTGAAATGTGAGAGCATAATGGATGGTGCCCTTTAAGCATCAGATAATTTTTTTGACAACAACCTGTTGACTGTCCAGAGGTGATGACATGAACTGGCAAACTTTATTGACTGCAAAATTAAGTTTGGGCCTTGTAAAAGTAACCTATTGAAGTGCTCCAATAATAGAATGGTTGAAAGTAGTATGTTGCACAAATTCAGACCCCTATTTTGAAAGTTCACTGCTGCTGCCCATAGTTGTAGAAATAGGTTTGCAGTCATAGTATAGTCTTGGCCAGTTAATCTAGAATATATTTGCTTTGAGTCAACAAAATAGAACCATTGGGCTGTCTTCTGACTTCAATGCCCGAAAATAGTCTAGCTGACTGGAGATTAATTGATGAAATATATTACTGAACAGTGAACACAAATGACAAACAATTCAGAAGTTCACTTGCTGTCCAAGAGACAGTAGTCTTTTACAGAGGTAATCTCTGTCCACAAACTTCAATTGCTGTTATTCCCAGTTCTCTATGTGCAATTGTTGCCCAGAAAAGATTTACTTTTTCTTATGATCAACATGTGCAACTATTATGCTTTTTGCCTGATCTTTTTGTCTCTATTGCATCCTCCTCAGCTTTCACTTCCATTGAGTGATTAAGTTTTCATGCATGCACTGCAGGACAAGAGGCGGGATACATGGTGTCTAGGAAATCTTTCTAAGGAGCATCAAAGAAATGTAACATTTCACATTCTTTCTGTTAGTTCATTATTAGTTCTGATCGGTCTTATTTTTAATGAATTATTAATTGGTATCTGTGCTGCAGATTAAATTAATTGTATTGTTCCTACTTGTTTTCACATTATTGATCCTTTATGGAGGCAAAATGCAGTAACTTTTATGCTACAGTCTTATGCTGTAGCAAGAGATACAATTTTAGAACTACTAAGAAGCATTCCCTTGTTCATAAAAAAATCTCATTGCCAGGTGGTTTACTAATGGTTTGACCAAGTTAGACAATAACAGGATCGTCATACCATTGAGGAATAATGAGGGTCATCAAGTCATTTCAACCTCCATATAGGCATTAGGTGTCATTAGTATAAAGAGCACTTGCTACTTCCCAAACTGGTTCCCAGGTGATATGTGGCTGAAAAATCGGTTTGATGGAGGGGTGGAGAGTGGAATTGAAAACACTACAAATTTGGGCATAAATTTTCAACCAAAGTGCTCGATTAGTAGTAACAACTTTAGTTGTACTTGTGAGGTGATCTCGGTACCCTAACCCACTAAGCCATGGGAGGATGTCAGAAGCTCATGTGGAATAACTAGAGCCATCCAATTTCTCAGCACATAGCAGAAAGTGATAGAAGATTGGAGTGTCAAGCTTAGGAGAATTTGAAAAGCCAATGACAACCATGGTTAATTTAAAAAAAGGAAGACAGATGCATTGGGAAACAATACCTAAAGCACAGTGTACAAGAGGTTTTGCAAACAAAAGTCGTTAGATCAAGGCGAGGGTGGTTAGGTGGTAGATCTGAGGTTGTAGGAGAAGGGCAAGTTAGGTGTTGCAATGACCACTATGAATAATGGCCAGATGCGCTAGGAACTACTACTTATAGGGATGTTTGTCCTATTTGAAAAAGACGTGCATGAGAACACGTGAGATCCTCTGATCTCTTTGTTTGCATGATGGTTGCCTCAAGTCATGTTCGATGGTGGTGTTGGTTGTCAGAGATGTGATAGCGTTGGTGATCGCTAGAAAAGTCGGAAGAAAAATTTGCTAGTACAAGGGAAAATGGCAAAGAAAAGAGAAAGGCAAACCAAAAATAAACACAGTTTGTCGGAGATGAACATGATTCGCCAAATAATGTGGTCACCAAAGATAATGGGTCCATCAAGTAGATATGACTAAAAAAAATTACCTTTGTTATTATGAGCCTAACTCAGCCTTATAAAACTAGCTTGTATGGTGAAGATTACATCTCATATATATACACCATATAGTCATTTCACTAGACTATGCGGGATTTTCGAAAGAGTCATGATTTGTTGTCCTAGAGTCACTAATCAATAATCCAAATACCGTAAGAAATAGAATCAGAGGCAAAGATGTTGAAAGGATTCTTAACTTCATGGTCAAGGCACATGAGCCAGAGGGCTTACTCATGGAATCATTAAGAGTTTGTAGACGATCAAGCTATTCCATATTGAAGGCTCAAATATCCTATTCAAGTTCGGAAGTTGGTGGATTTATTGCCACATTTTGATTAGAAGTCATTTGATTTACCTGCTTTATGTAGAATTGTTGTTTCCATCCATGTGTTCAAACACTTTCTCCTTTTCATGAAGCTTGTAGCAAGTATCCTTGCTATGACCTGGTTGTTTATAGTAAGTGTAGTACTTCCCACGACTACTCTTTGTGGGGGTTTCCAATTGGAGGTTGATTCTTTGTACCCCTTTTCTTGTTGCCATTGTAGATCTTGAGTTGAAATTCCCTCTAGCAAGTGTGATTGATCGTTGAGTTTCTTTATCTCACACGATATAGAATACTTAAAATAGTAAGGGAAGTTTTTCTGCCTAGTATTCGTAAATGAATGGGATTGTATTCAAAATGCAAGCCATGGAAAGGCTTAAAAGAAATTCCCCTGCTCAATGACCTCAACTTGTGCAATAGAATCAACTTTGCACATCTTCAAATTCTGGTATTGGTCCAAATGGATCCATAACTTGTTCAATGTTCCGTAGTAGTTCATCACTAGGAGGGTTCCTTGCTTAGTATTGAAGATCCCGTTCTCAATATCATTGTAGGCTACAAAGTCCTTCTTCATGCATTGAGTCTAACTAAGATTCTCCCACATCTCATGTACAAGAGGTGTAGAACATATATTTTGTCTTGTTTCTTGGGTCATAGTGTTTCACAACCAAGTCATGATAAGAGAATCCTTGTTACCCCGAGCTTCAAACCTTGGGCAATCTTAAAGTGGATCATACCCTTCAATATGGCTAAGCTTCTCATATGCCTTTTAAGGGTATGAACATATTGTGCCCATTGTAGATAGTTGTGACCATCAATAGGAACCTACCAAATTTGGAAGGTCAGGAAGGCCCAAAATGATGATTTTATCCTTTGCCATAATCACACAACAATTTTTCACAGAAAAAGTAACAGGATAAAATAGGAAAAAAAGAGTCGATGTATATGTGGAGTACATAACAAGAAAATTGGTGAAATCGATCTCTAGAATGGATAAAGAGATTGCAGCAAGCCTATTTGGGCCAATGCCAATGGCTTTGAAACTCCTAGGTTTGGCTAGAAGAGGAAAGGTGTTCTCATGAGTTGACCATTGGTCTCGAAGGTGGTAGCACTTGGGGGTAAGTAGGAAGTGCTAGTTGATATGGAGCAGTAGAAATAGAGCTCTCAAGACTGGGAACTTTGATAACATGTTGAAAGAGAAAAATTTGTGTATTAGTCGTGTGTATGATACATTCTCTATTTTCCCTTTTATAGGGTAAACAACGATGTCTCAAAAAGGAAATAATTATGAACATACGAGATATTTTTGGACCCTCTAAAATATTGCAACATATTATTTATTTGATCATAATATATTAGAGTTTAAAGGTGTTAGAGTAGAAAGGAAGAAAGAATTGCAAACAGATTTGAGAAAATGATACTTTGTTATTACTACCATATTTCTGTTACACCCTATGTATATATAGGGATGTTATTACAACAACAAATTAACCTAGCTGAATGTTAACTCAACTGATTGCAAAATAACAAAAATCTAACCCACCTGATTAAGAAACAGAAAACTAACTCAAGAGATATGTTATTTTAACTGATCTCAATACAATATTCACACAAAGGGTCATGCATTGTCAACATAAAAACTATTACCCTGTTAATCATTAAAAAGTCATTGTATGACTTTGAAGATGATGATCGTAAAAGTCAATAAACCCACAATACATAGTGATTTGCAATTAAATGGCTGTGTAAAACTGCTTTACACTATTGGTGTCTAGCCTTTTATCTCAATATATTATGGTGTTTATTTTAGACTATGATGGTTATCCTTTTGGTTGTATGTTATATTTGCAATGCTAATTCATTTATTTTATGCTCTAAGGAATACTGTAACATCCAGCCTAGTGCTTCTTCTACTGTAAAGCCAATAAGACCTAAACGAGAGATGGGACCACTTCTTCCTTTTGATGAACTTGTAAATGAAGATGTTTATGTGGATGAGCCCTTTAAGCAAGAAGACAATAATAAGGATGATGCTAACAAGGATTGTAATCTACCAAACCCTTGTACTTTATTGCATGTAACAAACAGGAAAAAGGCACCATCGCAGAAGAAAAGCTTGTCCATGGTTTGTGATATCAGATGTCTCAATAATATTTTCATTTTTTCAATTTTTAGAAGTTTTTATTCTAATATCTTGCAAATATAGCAGGAGGACGACAAATTTGTAGAATTGCAGGAAGAATATGAGAGTTTGTTTCTAAAATTTGAAACTCAGGTTTTTTCCCTTTATTCTTGATGCACTTCCAGCACCAGAAACTTCTAGACTCAATACATGCCCATGTTTTTCTTGTTGCAGAGAACTGTAAGTGAGATACAGATTGAGTCATTGAGAAAAGAGCTTATTGAGGCAACTTCTCTTCATTTTAAGGAATCTGTTGACTCTTTAAATTATGCCCACAGTGGTGGATTGAATGTTGAGAAAAATGCGAATTTTAGAGAGTCAGATGCTATTCTTGTTATCAAGAGACTTCAAGAGCAGGTTTTGTTTTCCTTTCCTTTTTCACATTTATTTTTAACAGTATATGTTTCACTTCCAATACTTTTTTAATAAAATATTTTTATAATCATTTCCTACTTTATGCTGCATTAAAATGTATTTATATTTGTTTTGTGATTTCTAGCTGTGTCTTGCTTATGTGTTTTCCTTGCATTTTAAAGATTAAGGTTTTGGAAATGGAAAAGTTATCAAGCCATCAAAGCTTGGATAATGTTGTTGATCTGGCAACAGAGCAGAACATATGTGCTAGGGAGAAATACAAAGAGGTAATCATCAATAATGCTTTGTTTTCTATGCCTTCTAATCTGATTAAAAGAATGCTGACTACTAGATTTGATAGAACATTGGGAACTAGTTGAAATATTTATTGAATAGAAAATAGATGAATTACAAATTATAGCAATGATATTGCTGTCCCAAAGACTCTCGTCACCTACAGAGAATATTCTCTGTTCTGAAACTAACAAATACAATAATGTAAATGTCCACTTACTAATCCTAAATTTAACTCTACGAAGCATAACTATCATATGCAGTAACTGCCACTCATACAAAGTATAACTGCTTACTCACACTGATCCTAAAGTAATACGACAAAAGCATAACTGCCATTCATTACACCCTTCTGTAATAAACATTCCAAATATGAGGTCTTGGAGCTTTGTTTCCAACAAGATTATTTGATTACTCATCAGTTATCATTATTCTTGCTCTGGTTGAATGTTTAGCGAGGAAGGTATATTTTATATCAATTTTTAATTGCAATCGACCTAATATGAGCAAGAGATTCAATGAGGTCATCTGGAATTCCAGATTCACAAGTTGTCTGATCTACCCTCTGAACTCCAGTCAAGTTGGTCTACCCCTGAACTTCAGTCAAGCCCAGAGAAAAGCTTTCTTCTGTTATTTTTTGTTTTTGTCTTTGATATGAACCCCGTAGGATCAAAATTCCAACATCCCAAATCATGAATTTCTTAGGACAATTTATAAGAAAATAAAGAAATTAAAAAGGAAAAATATGGATTGAAGTAAGAAATGGAAGAACAACGCCACAATCCTTGAAGATTGATAAGTTGAGAAAGATTCACCACCTTGAATTAGAAAATTCAGGGATAAGAATCAAAAGTAGCTCCTAAGAATCTAGAGAGAAAATCCTCTGAATTGGAAAAATATTCAAATTCTGAATAATTCATTTTCTATCCAACATCTTTACAAAAGTTTCCTATTTGTAAGCTTAGATGGGCAAGCAGACATAAATTCCCATTAATTTCCCACTAACACTTAATTTCCAATAGAATTGACTCTCCACCATCCCACTAACTATCGTTATGATATTGGAAGCCCAAAAGCATTAAAAATTGACCTAAATAATATAAAAAGACATCTGAATTATTTGAATAAAAAGAAATACGAAAATTACATTAATAATTAACAAAATGAGCTTAAGCAACTGTTTAGCCCCAAAACTAATTAAATTGAAGCCCATCGATGCTTCTTTTGGATCATGTGCATTTGGACTTGTCATGTTATGTTCAAATTGGATTCAAGTCTTCATCAAGATGTAGAAAATAACACTAGGTGATATATCTCCATGGGCCTTGTCAAGCAAATTAGTTCATCTCCTTTATTCCTTAAATTCTTCCAAGTGTAGCCTTTGGTAGATTCCATTATTTTGTCATGTTATCTTCAAATTGGGCTCAAGTCTTCATTAAGATGTAGAAAATAACACTAGGTGATATATTTCCATGGGCCTTGTCAAGCAAATCAGTTCATCTCCTTTATTCCTTAAATTCTTCCAAGTGCAGCCTTTGGTAGATTCCATCAGCTTTGATGTTAAAATTACTTAAAGATATCAAAGGATAAATTCAATAGATATAGCAAACTCAGTCATTTATGTTTCCATTTTACCTATATGGTTGCTGGAATAAAGGTGAAAATGAGTGAATATTAAATATTACTTGCTTGTGTATAAGTTGTATGTAAGTTTATTTTTTAAACATATTTATGGTGTTTTTGCCTTTTGGGTGACAAAGTGTGGTAGCAAAGATAGGTTACTCCAAGGGTCAGGGCCCCAGAGCACCACATAAATTGGGCATTCATTGTATCCCTTAATTGGGCACCCATAAGTATTTGTCTAGAACCCCATTTTTTGCAAACATTAGATATGGAGCTGTCTGGAGATATATGAAACTGTATTGTGTATTTCCTAATTAACATTTATGATTCCTGTATTTTGTTTCATTTGCTTAGCTCTATGAAGAGCTTATAAATGCACAGGAGGCAGCTCGGCTGGCTAATGAACAACTTACTTCCAGCAAAAGTGTGAGCAATATTAATGTATGCATTTGATGCTTTGTATGAACATTTCGATTCTTGCTTTCTTATAATGTCTTCATGATTATATATAAGTTTACAATTTTTTATGACTGTGACTCATACTTTATCCTATCCTATAAAACTGCTTCTTGAAACTTCATGTAGGATGGAAATTTTGACTTTGTGATCAGTGTTTCCACGGAAATTCAAGAAATTATGTCTGAAATTCAAAGCTCAAAAGATGCTGTTCAAAGTGTTATGTTTATGGTGGATGATGCTATTAAAAACTTCTCTGCTCTACATGATACGCTCCTTGTAAGAATATTGATTGAGCCATTGAGGCAATATAGGATAAATATTTGTAATGACAACTAAAAATCAAATTGCAGAGTATTTATTTCATATAATGCTTTGAGCAGTTATCTTTTGTTTTCTTTCTAAGAATTGTATCTATAAATGTGTACGAGCTTTTAGTGCACGGGCTTACTATTTTATGGCTTGATACAGGTTTTCAAAACCTCAGTTTCTCAGGATTCTGCAGAACAAAGTTTAGTCTTGAGTAATAATCAGAAGTTGAATTCTCACTTGAGAAATAAAATATTTGAGCTTGAGAGTGAGAAGGTAAAATTTCCTTGCTATTGTGATATGTTTCTAGGGATGTCCTAGTTGGTCTTATAATTTGTGCTGCAGATTCTTCTGGACAACCAATTAGCTGATCTTCAGAAGCATCTTCAGGAATCAAAACTAGATGCTCAGAATTCCCAAAATTCTTTGATGGTTGGCCTTTATTTGATGATATGTTTTCTATCCTATCTGTTAATTTCATTGAATATGCAATGCAGAAAATAAGGGGTACTAACTGTTTATTATTTGTTATAGGAAAACTTGGAACAACAGAAATTTGAAAATGCAGAGTTGATTTCTTATATTCAAACTCTTGAAAAGGATTTATCATATTTCACATCATCTTCTGTGGCCAAGGAAAGGGAAACTTTAAGAAAAGATTTGGACAAGGCAAAAGCCAAGTTGAAAGAAATTGAGTCTAAGCTTAAGCTTGCCATACAAGAGAAAACAAAACTTGAGGTTGTTTTTACCACATCTGATGATTGCTTGGTTTCATTGCAAGTTATTTACTTGTCAAAATCATATCATTTTATACCCTAACATATTAGTTGTAACATAGGGTGAGAAAGCATGTGCTGAACGAGAGACTAAACGGTTGCATGGTCAAAACTCTCTTCTTGAACGTGATATCAACAAACGTGATTTGCTTGCGGGAAGAAGACGTGATTCAATTGTTGAAAGGGGTTCAAAGATGTTTGATCCTAAAAGACCGAAGGGTCTTGCATTTTCTCTAGAACAAACATTACAGGTTTTGACAATGGGACTTGATGAATGCTTGCTGAAACTTTTGTTATCTTTGAGCAATAACTCCTCTTATAAATATTTAATTGTAGCAAGAAATAAGTTTATTTTATCAGTGCTTTGGTTTATAGTGAGAGTCGTTTGACTTTTGTTAAAATTTGGTGTAATTATTGTCCTTCCTGTTATTTGTATGTGTATACATGCATTTAAAGCACTCTTTTCTAATTCATGCTTTTGGTCACAATAGGTTTTCTTCAGTTACTACCCATAAAGAATTGTAGATAAGATTTGCTTTGTCAATCTGAAATGCTTTACGGTCTTCAACGTGCATATTGTTAGCATATTTGTTTGTTACACATTCTCTATGATGCTATTATACCATAATGGAGCTCTTGCCTTGCCATTCCTTTGTATTGACTGTTGAGATTTTTCCATTGTGATAATTAAATATTTTAAAGTCTACACAGTTTTCTATTTTGTTTGTAAGTTTAGTTAAATGTTGCATATAGGCTAATGATATTTTCTTGTTAGCTTAGTCATAATTTGTTTGCTTTATCCAATCAGGGGTTAGTTAGTTTTTGTATTTAAGCCCTTGCTATAAACACTTTCAAGTGTGTTAAACGGAGTTTATAATTCAAATATATCATATCAGTTTTTGCCTCCTTTTGTGTGGGTGAAGTTGTAGATTTTCTCATTTTAATGTTATTTTTGTCCTTAGTCATACACCCCTCTCTTTAATGTTTTGTTTTCAATATGGTATCAAGAGCTTTATTGATTTTTAAGAATCTGTTAGAGAGAAAGAAAAACAAAGAAAACAAACTAAGAAGAAAACCCATACAAAAAGACCTCCAAACACAGAAATAGCTCCCAACATTAGTTCTTTGCCTCCACCTCCTATATTTGCAGGTAAAAATTATCACTTGTGGACTACAAAATGAGGACTTATCTTAGAGCTTAAAGTTTTTTCATTATAGTGGAAAATGAAAGTAATCCACCTTTATGACCAGAAAATCCAATAGTAGCTCAAATGAGGAGTCACAATGATTAAGTGGAAAAATAAGGCAGAACTTTTGTCATTTTACAGGCAACACTACATGATGATGTATTTATCATGATTCTGACTCTTGAAACTGTAAAAGAAGTGTGAGATAAGTTACTGTAGGAGTTCCAAGGGAGTGAAAGAACAAAAAGAATGTAGGTGCTAAATCTAAGGAGAGAGTTTGAAGTGGTAAAGATGAAAGAAACTAAATTTATCAAAGATTGTATTGACTTTGAAGGTTGTTACCCAAATCAGATTACTTGGTGAAAAGCTTAGTGATCAATGTGTTGTGGAGAAAATCTTGGTGTGACTTCTAGAGAGGTTTGAATCAATAATGTTCTCTTTAGAAAAAAAACAAAGACTTTTTTCAAATATGAATTGCAGAACTTGTGAATGCTTTGCAAGCCACTGAACAAAGAAGATCTTTGAGGATGAAAGAAAATATTGAAGGTGCTTTTGTGACATACACAAAAGGCAAAAAATAGGAAGAAGACAACAAAGGAAAAGGTTGGAAAAACAAGTTTTCACCATGCTGACATTGTAAGAAAAACAACCATACTGAAAATTTTTGTTGGTTTAGGCCAAACATTAAATGTAGGGCCTGCAATCAATTTGATCATGTGGAGAAGGTTTGTAAAAATAAAACAAACCCACAAGAGCATCAAGTCCAAATTGTGGAGCCCGAAGAATGTGAGGAACATTTATTTGTTGCTACTTGTTATTCAATGAGCAAAAACAGGGAGGCATGACTCAGATAGCATATGCACAAATCATGACTCATGATGCTACAATTTTCAAGAAATTAAATCATTCTAACATATCCAAAATCACCATAGGCAATGAAGAAAGTGTTGATACCAAAGGTAAAGGAGTTGTTGAAAATTCTTCATGTATCAAAAATATTTCAGATGTTTTATTATGCCTAAAATAAATCAAAACCTTTTGAGTGTGGACAAATGCTTGAAAAGAATTATTCTATTTTAAAAATATAGGATGCACCACTTTTGATCTTTCAGGTTGTGAGCTTGTCTATTAAAATGAGAGATAAAAGTTTTCCAACAGTGGAAAGAAAAAGCTATGCATTGTGTTTTAAAGAAATATGAGGATTTGAAAAATGAGTTACTTGAAGGAACATTTCAGACTTTAAATTGTGAATCATTAATCAAATGGGCTTACAATAAAAACCACACAAGAGAAACTGTCCATCTTTGTGAGCACAACCAACTTGAGAAGAAGAATAGCAAGTTTTTGAAGCTTTTGGGAGATAAATGGAATCTTTTTTTATGGGCCATGGAAGCTACAACAATCATGGTCATGGCTTTGGCATTATTATACTTATACTTCTTATCAATTGAACAGGAAGTTTTGTGAAGGAGAATAATGTTGATAATGTTGTTGCAACTCTTATGGCAAAGGTCTTTCAAAAATGGATTAAGGCAATTGCAAGGATTTTTATTTCAAGTGATAAAATCAATGTTAAGCTTGGGGATGTGTAAAGGATGATAGATATCAAAGCTTGAAGCGATGAAGAAAAATCTCAAGGAAGAGTGTTGACAGTTGAAATCTTTCTATTGTCGTAATTAAATATTTTAAAGTCTCTACAGTTTTTTGTTTTACTTGTAAGTTTGGTTAAATGTTACTTATGTTTAGAAAAAGTTATGCAAATAATGATATTTACTTGTTAGCTTAGTCATAATTTGTTGTTTGTTGTACCCAATCAAGGGTTAGTCAGTTTTAGTATTTTAGTACTTGCTCTAAACACTTTCAAGTGTGCAAAACTGAGTTTATAACCCAAATATGTTATATCAGTTTTTGCCCTCTTTTGTGTGTATGAAGTTGCAGATTTTCTCATTTTAATGTTATTTTTGTCCTTAGTCATATACCCTTCTTTTTCATGTTCTGTTTTCAACACTTCCTTATGCCACTTTAATGAAGTTATAAACATGTTTTTCTGTCTCCTGATGTTAGAGGTTTTTTCATCATAATTATAATTACTTTTATACATGTTTATTTGTCTTGATATATACATATATATAATTTCAAGTAGAATAAATGATTTTTTAATATGTATGTATATATTGTCACTGATCAGGAAGAACACAAAAAGCTGGAAGTTTTTGCATTTGAATCAGAAACAAGAATTGCTTCGTTGGAAGAAGAAATAACTGGTATATTGAAGGAGAAAGAAGAGGTGATATCTATTAATGAAGGTTTGACATCAGAATTGGAAGGCTTGACTGAGAAACTGAATACATCATCCTCTGAAGTATATAATTTGAAGGAGGAAATTTCATCTATTGTAAGTTTTTCAGTAATGTTCTTTCTAGGTTTCTCCTTTTGACTTGGTTGTTAGATGGCAGATAGAGTTAGAGCTGAGAGAAAAGTAATCGAAAGTAAAATATAGTTGATAGTGAAAGAGAGAATATGAATTTTGTGAACAAATTTCTCTACTGATCTCATTGTGATCTGTTGCTAATATAATATAAAATTGGGGGACATTTAGAAATATAATATTTAAAAATATAAAAAAAAACATACACATAATCACCTCTCTTGACAACTTAAGATGTTGGAATTGTTTGTTTGCGACAAAGTACCAAACTCTTTATTACCATGCCAAATTTTCTATTCTTACAATAAAATGTTGAATTTAAGCACAAGGTAAGTGTGAGTGTGCATTGTCCATGCTTTAATGGGGAAGTGGATTATGAACATAATATAAAAAAAGAGAAAAAGTGAATTTTAATTATATTTAGTGTGATTCACCAGTGATCTCTGTTGAGATGAATACATGTATGTTATTTTTTTTGGGTAACCATGTTATTGGTGCAAAAGATCACTAATTTTGTTGATGACTAATCCCTACTGGAAAACCTGATTGACTACTTTTAATTGGGTCTCTCCTAATTATGTTTTTTCCATCTACAAGATTCGAACTCAAAACTCTGTTTAAGGGGACCGAGTCTAGTATCCATTCGGATCAATAACTTGTTGGTATACTTGTATGCTAATTGAGTTACTTTTGTAACTGTGGAACGGACTAATAAACAGTTGTCAGTTGTAACAGAAATTGACTACTCTAACATAGTGAGTTGCATGTGCAGATTATAAACCAACATTAGTAGATAAGTACTCTAAAAATGGCAATATTTAAGTTTTTGTGCGCTTTCTCATTCAAACCATTAAGTTTGGCATCTTATTCTTGTCCATCCAGAAACAAAGATTGGAAGAATCTGATATCAACCAAGAAAATTTGAAAAGCTCTATCAAAGTGTTGATGGAAGAAAAGGAGGAGTTGGCCATGGTAGTGCAACTCGACTATTCTTTCTTTTACTTTATTGTGATTCTTCCCTTTTTAGGAGGTTTCTTTTATTAAGGTGTTTCAATGTATCTTGATCTTGCAGCAACTCACTGATTCTCTTTTGGAAATAGAGGAGGAAAGGGCAATATGGTCTGCCAAAGAGAAAGCTGCACTTCTAGCCATAGAAGAGCAAGCAAAGTCAAACAATGTACAAATTACATCATTATCAACAAAATTATTAGAAGTGAGATTCACGGCTCAGCTATTTAGGAAACCTTTATTAGTTCCCTTAATTGTTATATATATATATATATATATAT